CCCCCCCCTTTCGTCCGGCCCGGCAGAGCCCGCGGCGCGACACGCGAAGCCAAGGGTCCGAACCGCAGGAAGGCAGCCACAGGTGAGCCCGACCCCTGCAGGTCGAGACCTTGGGAGACGCTGGCAGGAGTGCAGAATCCGACCGACCTCTGCAGCCAAGAAGAACCCTGGCGGGGGGGGGTCCGATGCCCCAGCGCCGACGGGGCCCGCAAGGGTTAGGGCTTGGAGCGTGGTCGCAGACTAGCCTTCGGGGGAGCGCGTACTGCGCACGGTCCAGGTTGACTGCAGCACGGCGGCGAATCACCACCGGAGCCCCGGACCCGCCAGTCTGGCGAAAAAACCCGGTGTGGAAAGCAGGACCTCTGGCAGCACCCGCAGTGGGTCGGGAGCGGCCAAGAAGGGGGTGTCCAAGAGGGGGGGGTGCAAATCATGACCGGCGGCATGTGCGCGGCTCAGCGGGGGGGCCAGGGACGTAATGAAATCAGAAGAGGCGGCATGAAATCTGGGGAAAAATCATGGCCCCCGCCATGATATCCACCCGCCCTAGTCATCACCCCCCTCTTTGCCGCCCCCACACTGGGGTGGAGAGGAGGGGGCCCTGGCGGCACTCCGGGGCTTGGCTCCCGCCGCGGTCGCCCGCGTCCGAGTCGGCGGTCGTGTCCTGCGGAGCGCCAGGGGGCACCCACCGAAACCCGCCCACCCCCGCGATTTCGCCCTCCCTCCGCCACCTCTCTCGTCCGTTTCCCTCCCCCTCCTCCTCCTCCTCCTCCTCCTCCTCCCTCCCTCCCTCCCTCCCTCCCTCCCTCCATCCCTCCCTCCCCCCCTCCCTACTCATCCATCCTATCCATCCATCCATCCATCCCTCCCCTCCTCCTCTCCTCCCTTTCACCCTTCCCTCACTCCCTCCCCTAACCTCCCTCCGTTCCCTCTCCCCCTCCCTCCTCCCAGTCCCTCCCTCCCTCCTCCTCCTCCCTCCTCGCTCCATCCCTCCTCCTCCATCCCTCCTCGCTCCCCCTCCTCCCCCCCTCCCCCCCTCCCCCTCATCTCTCCCTACATCGTCGTATCCATCCATCATCATCCAGCCAGCCAGCCAGCCAGCCCAGCAGGCAGCAGCCAGCCAGCAAACCATCCATCCGTCCATCCGTCCATTCCATCCACCCTTCCATCCATCCATCCATCCATCAATCCATCCATCCATCCATCCATCCATCCATCCATCATCCATCCCAAATCCATCCATCCATCCATCCATCCATCCATCCATCCATCCATCCATCCTCCTCCTCCTCCTCCTCCTCCTCCTCCTCCTCCTCCTCCTCCTCCTCCTAGCCATTCCTCTCGAAGGGGGGACGCGCCGCCCGGGACCCGGCCCCGAGGTCCGCAGGCAAACTGGGGAATGGCCCTGTGCGCGGGGGCCAGATGCAGTGTGCGGGGGGGGAGGTCTCGTATTGCCGTTTGCGGTGCGAGGCAGCGAATGCGATGGGCTGGAGGTGTTGCTTTCACCGTGCTCCCTCAAGAAGTCCCGCGAGTCCATGACGGGCGACGCGCAGGCCAGCATGCGGACGGTCGACGAGGCACGGGGGGCCCACAATGGGACATAGGAGTCTAGACTGCCGTGGGGTGGCGGTGGTGAAAAATGACCGATTCGGCAGTTCGCCCAGATGTGCACGTTCTTGGAGGCCACCCAGTGCATCGGGCCTATGCTTATGCGCTATCGCCCGCTTTTAAGGGATAGGGCCAGCCTGGTAGTGCACTGACCCACCCGCCTGAGGGCCGATGCATGGTTTTGTTATGCATGCGCATACAGTACTTGTCTCTTTCAATGCATTGGATTGGGTTGTGTTCGTTTCCTGTTCAGCGTACGTTTGGTCACGCAACGCCAGCATAGCATGAAAAGGAGCGCACTCGACTTCGGCCAGCTGGCTTGGGCGCAAGATTGTCGACAATGGAAGGGAATCACTCATTGTTCATTGGTGGCCCTGCAATGAACAGTGCTTTATGGGGTACGAAACGTACAGGTTGTACACCATCATCCGAGGATCTAAGCACGCTCGGCCCTCAGGATGCTACAGGAGAATCCAGGAGAATCCAACTTCCTCCTCCTCCTCTCCTCCTCCTCCTCTTCCTCCTCCTCCTCCTCCTCCCCCATCCTCCTCCTCCTCCTCCTCCTCCTCCTCCTCCTCCTCCTCCTCCTCCTCCTCCTCCTCCTCCTCCTCCTCCTCCTCCTCCTCCTCCTCCTCCTGGACCCCGCGCGTCCGAGCCGGCGCCCGTCTTCACCCTCAGGGCGGAGAGGTCGCAGCCCCCGAGCGCGAAGGCCGAGGGGCGCTGCCCGAGCGTCACCTTCATCGGCCAAGCCCCGCCTAGAGCACCGCCGGCCTGGACTCCCGAGTCCATCAAGATGAAAATCCGCCGCGGCATCGCCGCAGCTGGCGTGCAGAGGCTCAGAAAGAGGTCTGTGAACGATCCGACTCCACAATTAAGATATGACTGCCTTGCCGGTTCGACAGATTTCCGGTGGGAGGTAGACCTGCATCTGTCGTAGATGTCTCGGCACCAGGGCCTGATGAGCACGTGCAGTCATCCGTCGCCGTGGCTCGAACCCGCCAAGGGAACACGGGCGAAGAGCAGCGTGACCCAAAGCGTTGCCTGAGCTCTTCACCGAAGGAACCAACGCTGCGCGTGGTTGTTGCGCCAGTCTCGCCCGCGACAACTCAGAGGAGGAAAAGGTACGGATGCCGCTGCGTCTCCCTCGTCGTGACGACTGGATTCGCACCGAAATCCGTGTAAGAACGCACAATGAGAGAGTTCACCTGGCAACTCGTGGGAGTCTCCCATGCCATCCTGCTGGCTCTTGCGAATCGACGCTCACCGACCGCAGCACTTGTGGGCTGCACCTATGGAGGCCAGTCTCTGGGATGCACCAGCCGCCGACGCGCGACCCTCCGCGCAACCCACCCCGCAACCCCGCGGCGAACACGGGCGGACCCTGGCTCATCGGGCCAGCTGGCTACGGCGCAGCCCACCGCGCAACCTCATGGCAGCAGCGGCCCAGCCGGACTCTGGTGCATCGGGGCGGCCAGTTGGCACCGAGGAGGTGGGAAGAGAAAAATAGGGAACCGAACTCTCTACACCGAAGCCCGTGTATGGCCTCACACTGAATCTCGTACAGGAAAGCGGATCCTGGTGTATACTGGATCCTGGTGTATACATTATTCGCTGTTTCCCCAGGGAAACGGGGAAAAAAGTATACACCACACCACCCCGACGTCGTCCCCGACCCTGAAAAAGTCCTGGGATTGGAAAACCGCCCGCCACTGGTAATGTATATGCTCCAGATTCCGAAAAAAAGCGCCTGCAGAAAGGGGACTGAAGGCGGGCGAGGCGCAGTCTGAGGAATACTTGCAGAAGCAACTTCTGGAATGGAGGTCCACTCCCCTCCAGCACCCCTCCTCCCACCATCCTCCCACCACTACCCTGGCGCAGTGGCGGACATACGCGGCAGCGCTACTGCGTTGAGCACACTTCGGTTCGGTGAGGTTCCGATCGTGAGATGCCCAGTGTAAGACTACACTTGAGCCCATGTTGAATGATTGTGCTCACGATGGCGGCGGCGATAGAAGACGCGCTCGCGAGCGGTGCACAAACGCCGAGGTGCTCTGGGAGAAACCGATGTGAAGTTCCTCTAGGGTCTCTTGCGGCAGGTGGGCCCAACATCGAGTCGATGAGTCGGATCGGCGACCGACATGAATCGGATCGGCGAAAATCGGCAGCCAAGTCGGAAGAAATCGAATCGGCGGAAATCGGCAGGCTAAGAAGGTCTCCATTGAGAAACCCGAGATCCAAATCAGAGTCCGAAAGCGAACCGAACCAGAATGGGAATCGATCGACTTCGAATCGAGTCGAGCCGGCTGAGTCGCAATGAGCCCTGCTACGGGGTCGCCAGGTGATCAGACGGCGGCGTCCTTCAGATCCACCTCAAAGTTTGTTTTCCGAGTTCTTGGAATGTGGGAGCAGAGGAGGGGGAAGGGGATGCAACAGAAGGGAGGTAGGAGGAGGTTGAGGTGGAGGAGGAGGAGGAGAACGAGGAGGAGCATAAGCCAAGTTGAGGACCCTGTCCAAACATATAATACACCAACCTCTGAAGCCTCATGTTGTCCATCACAGAGATATGAGTACAGTGGATGAATGTAACAACTCTGGGTGGGCGGCTCGTAGGCTCCGATGGCATCGAACTGTTGAGATGTCGCGAAAGACCCATGCCTCACCCCAGAGAAGCAACGACTTATGTATGGCTAGGCTGAACGCTACAACTTAGGGCTTCTTAGTCAGTCGTACATTGTGAGAGTTCCGCTCGGCGCGAGATCCAGTGGGCTAGTCCCATGAAGTGGACATCGTCCGCCCACGTAAGCTGCGCATCATCACCGTCGCCCTTCTCCTCCTTGTCACGATCGTCATCAGCACCCTCACCGCCACCAGCACCCATTCTCTTTCTCACGGTGGTCATCATCATCATCATCATCATCATCATCATCATCATCATCATCATCATCATCATCATCATCATCGTCAGCAGCAGCAGTAGCAGGAGCAGCCATCATCATCAGTAGCAGGAGCAGCCATCATCATCATCAACAACAACATCAACAACATTGTCATCATCAACAGCATCACCATCAGCAGCATCATCATCATCGTCAACGCCATTGTCATCATGTCATCATCAGCAGCACTAGCATCGTCCTCATCTCCACCACCACACTCATCACCAGTATTGTCATGCTCGCCTTAAGTGATATCAACGTCATCATCGTCA